AAGGTCGGCTTTGCTCATTACCCCCAGGATTTTCATTTTTACCCCATTTGGGGTAATTTACCCCTGTTCCCAGACCACTGCTCTACAACAAAACATTAATATTCTAATTTGCTCCCCATTCACTTCAACATGTGCTAGGAAAAATAAATCTGTTCCATCAAGTTGAAAAAGAAAAGAAAATAATGGGAATTTAGACACTGATAACTGCAATGTTTAGTGAAATGTATTTCTAGCCACCTCTACTTACAGGTGACATCCTGCCACCACTATACACTGATAACTGCAATGCTTAGTGAAATGTATTTCTAGACACCTCTGCTTACAGGTGACATCCTGCCACCACTATACACTACCCTGCCCCATTTCTCCACAATCATCCTCAATTCTCCAAATCAGCCCCTCAGCTCTAACCAAGAGCGGCAGCCACAGCCAAAGAAACCACACTGCCTACCTTGATGGTGCTGAGATCCATGGGGTGCTTGATGATCTCGTGGTAGTCGTGGAGGCCCAGGGCAGAGGCGTCAACTGGTTTGTAGAAGGGCCAGGCGTAGGCAGCGTGCTTCTTCGACACCACCTCCTTGAGGATGCCGTTGCAGTACTTCAGCTGCTCCGAGAGCTTGCCCCTCTTGGAGGTCTGGTGCTGTTGGGAGTCTGGCAGGTCCTTGCGTGGCGGCTTGATGGGGCGCCCGCTCTCCCGCCGGGCGGGGATCTTGGCCGCCTTGACCTCTAGCAGGGCCGCAGAGGGAGAGGACTCCCCACCGCTGGTGGCGATGATGGCCGTGGGGGTTGGAGTGGTCGTGTCCGCTTTCCGCTTCACACCTTTTTTCTGTCGGGAGGGAAGCAAGAGCGCAGATGGAAAACCCAAAGACAACCAGGCGAGCTGTTGGCAACGAGGCCAGAACTTCCCTCCCAGATGCCTTCCCCTGTTCGACATCCCCCCTCCACCCGTTCCGGCTCTGCTCACCAACCAGCGTCCAAGGTGAAAAAGACGCTCGCTCACCTTGGTGACCGGCTGCGTGGGGGCCGACACCGCGATTACTGGCTGGGAGGCGGCAGTGGCGTGGAGGGGCTTGAGGAGGGGCGCAGAGATGACTGTGGGGTGGGGGATGCTGATGACGGTGGCGGGGACCTCCGTGCTGGCAGGGAAGATCTGGGTGTGGGAGACGGACGAGACCGCTGGGACCTGCTGAGCAGCTGCGTTGGCTGCGGCCAGGAGGGCTGACAAAACAAAACAGGCCCTTTGTTAACGGAAGCAAGACCGAACACACCCCACCCCTCGCAACCGCAGCCAAACCCCACTGCATCCCTCCTGTTCACACCTCAGACCTCTTAACTTTTGACTTCTGGTCCCTTCTCTGACTTGAGGCTTTACACCCTTGCCCCGCAACTGACCTGCAGCCCGAGACGCCCCCTTCTTGTGACTATTCTTGGCCACGGGAACCACAATCTCCTGCTCCTCCTGAGGCATCTGGGCCACCTTCTGCAGGAAGATCTTCTCCAGGGTTTGGGCCATCAACACAATATCGTCTGTGGGCTGCAGGGAGGGAAGTTGGGAATTGGAACGCCGGGAAAGAAACCTTTGCGGGGATCCACTCTTTATACTCCCTGGTCCGTACACTAAGTGTACGTCTTTGTGTAACACCACTACCACCACCCCCGGTGACTCTGGTGCCTTGAACATGCCAGCTGCCCTCTGCATCCTGCCCCTCATTTCATTCTGCTCAAGGACTACCCACACTTTCAGAAGCACGCCAAAGGCAAGTTGACCCCACCAGCAAGCAGCAGCAAAAACCTCTAACCGGCCAGATCCGCCACCCACCTTGTTGTAAATATAGCAGTTGGTGAACATGGTGTTGAAGTCCTGCATGCACTCAGCTGAACTCCAGTAATAATTGTTCTCCAGGCGCTTCTTGATGGTGCCCATGTCCATCGGCTGCTTGATGATTTTGTGGTAGTCCTGAAGGAGGAGCAAAAAAATGAACAATGTAGACAATTGTTAAGATACATTCCTCCCTGACCCACAAATGCTTATTAGCCTGTACCATGGCAACCGTCACTTTAAAGTACCCCTGCCACAAGAGGGAACATGGGCAGTAGAAGCAGCAGCATCACGCCCTGGGGCTCCCTCTGCAACCATAAGGACTTGAGACAAGTGCAAGGAGAAGCTGATGATTCTTAACCAGCTTGGTTAGTTATGGGCTCCCACTTCCTGCCCTCGGGAAGACCAGGAACCTGAAACTTCGTGTGTTTCCCCCCACCCCAAAGAGCAGCCATGCCAGGGAGATCTCTCCTGCCTCAAAACCGCAGCTTTAGAACCCGGCCCCCCACTACACATGAAAAAAAAAAGCATAAACTGGGACAGGTTTTTTTATTTTTTACCTCTGGGCCTTTAACTCCTTAGATGCCACAGGTGCTGGCCTTTAATTTGGGGGTCCCTTGATGTCTTCTACAAAGTCATGGATGGGAAATCTGCAAAATGCATTCAGGAGGATATAAGAGAATTAGACCAGAGTGGCGGTGTGATAGCGCACAAGTGGCTGCACTGCCTCATCCATACCTTTGTAGGGGGCATCAGACAGGGCTGGCTGCTCTGGATCCAACCCCGGGTCAGGCACCAGGGTGCTGGTGTTGGTAGGAGAACAGGTGATGCAACCAAGTCCTATGGGGCCAAACCGAACCAACTGGGGGACCAGAGTTAGAGGCTGGGCGACCACGGAAGACGAGACCAACCCAGCTAAAAGTGACACCACTGCATGAGAGCCAGAAGCTGAGGGGTAAAAGGTTGCCCTATTCTTATGAGAAAAAAGATAGTCCTTCTCCTTTAACACCACAGTACAGAAAAACACCCTGGCCTGCAGTCTAGGGCAGGTGGTGTTTGCCCACAGGGCCCCCCATCAAGGTCACTCCCCCACCCTGGAGGCCTCAGGCCATCACTCTGGGGCCCCCAGGCCACTCCCAGCTCTCCCAAGACCCATCCAGAGACTTCAGGGCAAGGAAAATGACAGAAAATTACGTAACCAGCCACCATTATAAATGCTGCCCACCTCCCTGGAGATCTCAGCCCTCCCTCTTCCTCCCTGCTCCCACCCGGTCACCCAGGCTGCAAAAGGAAGGCAAGGCACATTTACCGGCAGGCCCAGCTTGACAGCATCCACCGGCTGGCGGAAGGGCCAGGCGAACTGGTGCTTCCAGAGGGCTTTCATCACCACTTTGTGGAGATACTGGAGCTGGTTGGTGACCCTTCCGGGCTTCTTGGGGTTCGAGACCTCCGGTGGGGGCGGGTTGGCCGGGGCCAGCTGGAGGGCCGGCACGGCCATGGCCATGGTGGGGCTCTCGAAGCCCTCGTAGAGGAGCGACGGCTTCCGGATCCGCTTCCCCGGGGTGGTCTCCACCGCCAGGCCCACCAGCCCTGCATTGCCCTCCCCCAGGATCCTGCAACAGAGGAAGAGAGACGCCGCGCTGTCAACGGGGAGCCCAAAACCCAACCAGGCTTCAGTACCAAGCGGCTAGAAGGCTCTCCGCGGGTCACTTCAAAACATGGGGGGGCACCACAACTCCCTGGTGAGCAGGCACTGTTCTCAACAGCCTATCCTCCACACACACACACACAGACGCACACACCCAAAAGATAGGGGGCAGAGAATGCAGCCATCCAGAAGTCACCCAACCCACAAAGTGCAAAGAGAGGGATCCAAACCAAACTTTCGAAAAACCTCAGCCGCCCAGCCCACAATATGCAGCTGATCACCAAAGGGCCCAAACCAGCCGGGAAAGCTGCCCTTCTGCTGTGAACCCATTGTGGTGCCCTTGATCTGAAATCAAGCAGGACTTTTCCCCCTGGTGTCTTCCCCCCCTTGCCACCTGCAAGAGAACTGCCCCGCAGGGTTTTAAAACCCTTCCACCCCACTTAGAGCAATACCTCTCCCCCCCCCCACACGCCATCTTTCCCCGCCAGCAAGGCTGTTCTCAACAGCCTATCCTCCACACACACACACACAGACGCACACACCCAAAAGATAGGGGGCAGAGAATGCAGCCATCCAGAAGTCACCCAACCCACAAAGTGCAAAGAGAGGGATCCAAACCAAACTTTCGAAAAACCTCAGCCGCCCAGCCCACAATATGCAGCTGATCACCAAAGGGCCCAAACCAGCCGGGAAAGCTGCCCTTCTGCTGTGAACCCATTGTGGTGCCCTTGATCTGAAATCAAGCAGGACTTTTCCCCCTGGTGTCTTCCCCCCCTTGCCACCTGCAAGAGAACTGCCCCGCAGGGTTTTAAAACCCTTCCACCCCACTTAGAGCAATACCTCTCCCCCCCCCCACACGGCATCTTTCCTGGCCAAGCAAGGCTGCTTGAAAGATCACCAAGGCACACCCAGCCCAGGAAGGAATCCCAGTGGGCCTCGCAAAGGCTTTCTCCTTTATTTATTTCTTTGAAATATTTTTTACCCCACCCTTCTCCTGGAAAAGGACCACATGCAGCTTACAGGATCAAAATTAGCCTCATACTTAAAGCTACAAGGAATGAATAAGGAAGCAGTTTGCACCACTAACAGGCAATATCAAGGTAAAAAGCAAGAATGCAAAGATTTAGAGAAATGTTGAGAAACATAAACGCAGAAAATGGAAAACACAACAACGGAAATCTCATTTTTGCAGTCAAGGCAGAAAGCTCCCCAAACCCAGATCGTCAGCCCAGAGGTTGTGGCAGGAATAAGGGGATTCCCCCCCCCAAAAAAAACCTCAGAGCTTCCCCCCCCCACACACAAATTCCCAGCCTGCTTTCATC